CTGCATCTAGAACAACACCCAGTACATACTTGATGCTCAACAAACATTGGCTGAATTAACAACAAACCTCTAAAATCCGAAATTAAATATTTTGGTGTCTTTTTGCTTCACAATGACCTTTCACGCACCCATTTTCTCCCAATTAGATCACCCCCACGCCAGGTTTTCTGCTCCTAAGCCAGCCTAGAACCCACAGTTATTCATTATAGTCCCAACCATCAGTGTTATTCATTTCCTCAACCGATTGTCCTTTGTGTATCTCTACCAAACAGAATTGACAAAGCAGTGGATAACAAGCAGGCTCTAAATTGAACCAAGGACTGAACACGAGTTGTTCATTTGAAGAACCAGAAGGGTAACTGTAAGGTGGCAATATTAAATAGTATCTTCAGCTATTATCAGACTAATCACTATCGGAGAAAAACAACCATGCAAGTTGGTAACCATTATAAATCCAAAGTCTACAATCTCAAGCAGTTCCTCAATAGTTTGTTAGTTTCCTAGTCATGTATCTGTCTGCCTCTCCCCCTAAAGCCCTTGTGAACTATTACAAACTCACATACTCTTTTTAGGAAACTTCATTCTTCAGTGATCAAAAATGAAGACCACATGCCAAGTCCTTCTCTTTCAGTTTGCCCCATCAGCTTCAAACTTATTTACGCTGCCATCCATCTTTACTTCCCTCTTTTCTAATCACTGCTAAGACTACCTCCTGCTCAGGCCAATTTTTTAATCTATGCCATGCAGCCCATCCCCCTCCTCCTGCCTCCAAATCACAGCTTCCACCATCTCTGTCTCTGTCTGTCTCTCCCTCTGTCTCCATCTGTCCATCTCTCTTCCTTCCCTTCAATGCCTCCTTTCCATTGGTTATTCCTAATCCCACAAGCAGGCCCAATACCCTTTTAATTAAAAAACAAACAAACTTCTCTAAATCTTCCTTTCTATACTTTCCTTTAGAGTCTTTTGTTGAAAACACTGTATTCTTCTCAAGTAGCTACCCTTCTAGCTACAATTTAGCTACAAGTCACTTTTCAACCCCTAACACATTACAATGTAGCTAACTTCTCTAGCTGCAATTACAATTAAGACATTTTAATCACCACAACCCAGAGGCATTATTCAGTCCTTATCTTACTTGTGCTTTTCAAGGCAGGATACTGGGGGGACGGGGGTGTTCCTCTGAGGCAGAGTCTCCCTCCCCAGTTCAGGCTAGCCTTGAACTCACTATTAGATCAAGCTGGCCTCTTGCCTCAGCCTCCCAAATGCTGGGATTACAGGCATGCGCCACCACACCCGGCAGGATACATTGTTGACTACCCTCCCTCAGCTTCCTGTGACAAATTCCTCAAAGCTTCCTTTTTTCATCTACTGTCTGTCTGGACAGATGGTTAGCTTCTCTTCAGCTGCTGGCCCCATCGACCTAGCAGCTCACAATACAATACGGGAATCTTGTCATTTTGCTGGGCATGGTGGTGCACACCTGTAATCCCACCATTCAGGAGTCTGAGGCAGGAGGATTGACCTGAGTTCGAGGCCAGCCCGGGCTATATAGTTAGTTCAGGGGCAGCCTGAACTATACAGCAAGACCTTCTCTCAAAAAAAAAAAAAATCCTAAATCGTCAATCTTTCTTTATAATCAGATTATTCTATCTTGTTAATATTCCTAAATCTCTCATACATCCACCTCCCCCCTCTATATTCCTCATCATTTCTCACCAAGAATAGCTTTCTAAGTGGTCTTACTTCTAGTTTTGCCCCTCTCTAATTTAGCATTCATTTCCCTCAAATGAGTCTGAAATCACAGCATGAGCTTGTTTCTTTTCAACTAAATCCCCAGAGCCTTCAAAATGAACCTAAAACAAACTTGGTTCACAATCTGTGATTTGAGTATTACTTCATTTGCCTTTATTCTAAAGCTGTCTATTCACATGTGGCTACAAAATATGCAAATGGAGCTATTCCAAACTGAAATGTGCTATGATTCTGAAGACGTAGTATGAAAAATGGAATGTCATGCATCTCAATATTGCAGTGTCATATTTATTGCATGAAGAAATTATAATATTTTACATATATTGGGCTAAATTATATTATAAAAACTTCACTTTTTTTTTTTTTTTGTCTTTTTAAGACAGCGTCTCACTATGCAGTTCAGGCTCGCCTTGAGCTCCCTTTGTAGCCCAGGCTGGTCTCAAACTCACAAAGATCCTCCTGACTCAGCCTCCTAAGTGCTGGGATTACAGATGTGCACCACCACGCCCGGCAATCATTAATTACTTTTTAAAATATAGTTTACTAAAAACATTTAAACTGCATAGAAGACTTACATTTGTGCCCTGTGTTTCAATATGACAGCACTGGTATAATATGTCCTTTCCCTTTGTCTGAACCTAGTTCACTCATGTATTATTCAAGAGTAGCTCAGGTAACCCTCTAAGATTCTAGAACACCCCCAGTACCAAGAACCCAAGCCTGACTCCACTATCCCTCCTCCATGCTTCCACTGCTAGGAATTTGTGCACACACCTGTAACAAACCACACCATATTGTAATTACTGGTTGTCAGCTAACTTTTCCTCTTAAACCATAGCTCCTTGAAAAAAAAGAGCTACCGTTTTACATATTCTCAGTCCTACCACCATGCTTAGCATTTAGAAGGCATACAAACATTTGGAGGACAAATGTAAACTACCTAGTCCCACCCTAAAAGTTAGAAGGAAAGAGCCTAAACTTTACCAGGAGCTCTAGTAATAAAAGGACTGGGGAATAGGTTGGAGAATAGGAATTGCAATAAAGAGATCAACAAATGAGAAATAAAGCTCATCACACACACACACACACACACACACACCTGCCTCTGACAGGAAAATAGGGATCTGCCGCAGTGATGAGAAGCCTTGAACTCATGGCTGGCGTGCTGGGGCCACAGTTGGTCCCTAAATTGTTTAAACAATGCATCCAACAACAACCACCACCACAAGAGTATGATTTGGCGGGTTTTAACACAACAAGCAACAAGAGCCCAGCACCTGTTCCACTTAAACAGCGCATCATTGCTGTTAAAAACAACAAATCTCTCTCGTGAAGCCAATGTTAATCTCATGATGCTTCACCATGGAGCAATTTAGAAGAGTTATTGTATGAAATGTGCCAAAATATGAATTTATGGCTGATGCTTATTTGGCAAATATGGCTGGCACTGCTAAATGTTGAAAAGAATGTATGCAAATAAGCAAATAAAAGTTTTTAAGCTCTCAGCCTTAAATATTTACATTACCATGAATGTATAAAGATAAATGTTTATAGGAGTACACATATTATGCATTTCAGGAACATATTTTTTAATTTGAGTGTCAGGAAACAGTTATGAAGTGGCATTATTCCTTTATGGGCCTCAGGATAGACTCTTAAAAATAAATTCTGACAGAATGTTAATGGGTTAAGAACATTACTGTGGAAGTTTCTCTGCACTATCAGTGAGCAAAATGAACAGTTGTAGTATCTGAACAGTTCAAAGCAATCTTATCTTTTCCTCTCACCAAAACACTTCTCCTCCAACTCTGGAATCCAGCCAAACATCAATGTCAGCCCCTAAACAAGGGAGAGGGGGCTGCACATTAAAACCCTTCAAAAAGATTCTGACATTTTTCCTCCCCATAATATAGTCATGTTAGTCCCTAAAGACATGATAAAAATATTTTCCTCTTTCCCTCCATGAAGAGGATGTTTGCTTTTTCACATAGTTTGTGAGTTTGTCATTAGCCATAATTCAGTGGCAGAGGTATGAAATGTGCTTCCTTATGTTAATTTAATCTCTACGCTGAGGCTATGAGCTCCCATCTTGGAAGCTAAGAAAATGTACCGCACCTGCCATAATAATTTACTAAATGAGCCACCAAAGAGAAGGGCCAGGCACTTCGGAAATTAGGGTAGTCAGTGAGTTCAGCCATTCAGAAACGCTCTGAGATTACAAAAGGAGCCATCATGAAGTGAGAATTCAAGATTGCTCAAGGAAAGTTTTACCCCTGTGGATAATTCACTTTTTTTTTTTCCCTTTCACACTACAGGGAGCAATATGGGTTCTCAGACGACACACATTACTACATCACTTCATTTATTAGGGAAAAAAGATGCTGTGGCTGGGGTTATAAAAAAAAAAAAAAAAACAAACAGCAGGTAGGCCTCAAAACAGAATCCTCAAAGCAATTACAATTCAGGTGAAAAGCTGCTCACGTACCTATCCAATGACCTAAAAATAGTCTTTTATGTAAGTCTCCAAGTATTTAATTCAATGTATAATCTCACCACATTCAATAGAGGCAAAAGAAAAACGTATTAGGTTTTCTATAGTAAGGCCAATAAGGATGAAATCATAGTTTTCCTCTAACTCATCACCATCAACGCCAGCCTTCCAAAAACTCCATTCCACAGCTCTGATTCCTAAACTTGGATCTTAGAAAAACAACGGATTGCAGGAGTACCAAGGGGTTGGGGGGGAGGCAGGCTCCTCTTTCCCGTCGCTGTCAGCAGTCTTTTGCGGAACCAGAGAAGGAAAAGAAATCGGGCTTCCCGACGAAGGGCGCAGACAGCGGGGAAGCGGGGTGGACGCGCTCCTCTCCCAGGGAGGAGAGAAAAGTTGCAAGGACGGATGCGTGGAAGGGCAAGGAGAAGAAACGCAGCCGCGCCACTGAACCCCAAGCACTGAGCCAGCACCCAGCCAGCACCCAGCCAGCCTGCATACAGGGGGCTTCGTGGATCCCCCGGGCTCAGGAACAGGGAGACTGCGTAACTCCGGCAGCAGCAAGAAGCCCTCCTGCCCCAGCCTCCCGCGCCTGCTCCAGGTCTCACTCTGCCTGCGCCGCCCAACCGCGCCCGGGCGTCCCCGCCGCCGGTCCCAACTTTGCCTCCTGTCGGGGGCGCCGCGCGCCGGGGCCGGGCGGGAGGGACCCCGGGGGACGCAAGGAGGTAGGCGAAAGCACGCGACCGACGGCCTCCGTTACCTGAGGGGCGCGCTCGCCGCCGCGGGGACCACCATCACCGCGCGTCCGCGTTCTTCCTGCTGGCCGTGGCCGTGCTGCCGAGCGACTGACACTAACAACAAGTAAGTACTGTAACTCTCGCCGCCGCCGCGTCCGCCGCGCGCCCCCGCCCGCCGCCTGTCCGGCCCACCAGCCTGCGCGTTCTCCCAGCCCCGCGCGCCGCCCCTCCGCGCGTCCTCGCCCGCCTCCTGAGGGGCGAGCACGCGCGCGCGCACCGCCCTCTCAGAGCTCTCCTCAGCTTCGGGGGCGGAGTCTCCGCGAGGCCCCGCCTTCTGGGGGGGTCCAACAGGCGGAAGAGGAGACCTAGGGGGAGCCTGATTGGCTAAGGGGCGGGCCCAAAGCGAGGGGGCAGGACGACCAAGACCTTAGGCCCATGTGAGGGAAAAATTTGTTTCAATTAAGCACCAGAGGAAAAGAAGTTTTGACCCATTTGCATATCGCATCTCTTTATTGTAGCCAGTCTCCGAGTACCATCTAGGTGCTTTCAAGTACTCCAGTACGGAATTTAGTAATTATCAAGTTAAATTCTACCCTCTGTGGGCCTTTGCCATAAAACAGAAAACTACATCTCCCAGGAGGCTCCATGAATGCGCCTTGCGTCATCACGTAATCCTCTACCGCATCAAGACAAAATAATCCCTTCATTTTTCTGAAGGTATTGGGAATAATATTTCACTTTTCTCTTCATCGGAGCCACTTTAAGCGTTACCGTGATAAGAGAAGTTACCTGTCTGTACTTGGTTAAGCGATTTGGGTAAGGAAAAAGAAAAGATATCAAAATAAAGTGCTGCGGAGGGATTCTTCTGGTGCTGTGAGATGTCGAGTGCAACGAGCGGCGGTGACTGAGGGGCTGAGGGGACTGTCCTCTGTGCAGGGCCTCGTATTAGACCCTGGGCCTCGGGTGCCCCTGTCGTCTGCAGGTCAGTAGGCTGTGCGAACTTGGGGGTGGCCACCATCATGGTATCCTTCGCCCTCTAACTGAAGATCACTCCTCTTTTGCTGTTACTGGTTTGTCTGGGATAGAGGCCGACTGAATGGGCTCACTTCCGGCTGGGGGAGGGGAGGGATGGCTTTTGGGGGAGGCGGAACAGAACTCACTTCCTGTGGGGCAGCGTGGTGGTTTGGGGGTTGTCCAGCCCACTTCCCGAGCTGGGGAGGGCTTGAAAAGCTGGTGCTGGGTTCCCTCGCCAAAGACTGCATTGCATAGCTTGAGAGTGGTTTCGTGTCAGAAGTGAGATTATTCCACGAAGCTGTGATCATCAACCTGCAGGCTGAGTTATGTGTTTGGTTTCCACTTGTGAGGTGGAAAATTTCTTCCCCAACAAAATTTTCCTCATGCTTTCTTCAAAGAATGCAAAACCCCCTGTTAAGATTCATTACAAAAGAGCACACTTTTTTGTATGACTCACGAATTGCCTACCCTTACTCCTTTATCCAAGTCGACCTTAATGGGATGGGTAGAGTTCTCTGCCTTGACTTGCAGCAAGAACGCTAGCTGCTGCGTTAAAAGGACATGGCCTATTACCTAGAGGACCGATAGTTCACATAAATTACGGGGCATTTTCATCTTAGCAGAGAACAAGTGTAGGAAGTAACTCAGATCTGGTGTTGCCTTAACTGAATTAATTGGTATCCTACATTCTTAGGCCTTTGGATTTGAGGCTACAGATTCCCCTGAGAACAATTTCCTCGGCTTTAAAAATTCTTTCGTGGGGCTGACATGTAACATGAAAGGTGTATTTTAATACATCATCTCCCCTTGTAATTGAGTTAAATTTGGCAATCGTTAAAAAATCATTGCTACCCGCTGTGGTTTTAAAGAATGGTGCAAGGATCATGAGCTCAGCTCACATTTTAAGGGAAGAATGTCTCACAAAGAACAAAAGATGAGTAAGAGAATTCCTTCCAGTATTCTTTTGTATAAGACAAAATACGTGAATTGGTAATAAACACTCAATAATTTTGATTCCTTGTCATTTGTCAAGTAACATTACTTGGGTGTATGTGTACTGAAGAATCAGTCTTTTTAAAGCTTTGTGAAATTGCAACAATTTCAGGCTGACGTGAACCTATAACTGGCAGTGTCTTTCAGAAATTCTTCAAATAATAAAACCTATGTATTTTTTCCTTGAGATTCTTACTTAATTCTAGCCTCAGAATTTGTAATTTTAATTCTCATTCTTTTTCAAGCCATTTGGTTTAGAATTTATTAGAAAATTTCAAACTTTGAAAATAAAAACATTTTAACTTATGTAGCCTTTTTTAAAGAAATTCTCATTGAAGATGAAGCTCATTGATAGAGCATTTGCCTACTGTAAGGCCCCTGAGTTCCATCCCCATTACAGCGGGGTTGGGGGGATCAGCCTGAACCTCAAAGCAGTTACCTCTTAAAAGACCACAAAATTGCAGCAACAGTTGACTGAGAAGACAAGACAAAATAATGTCCATGTTGTCTGTAACAGCGTATCGGGCATTTGGACTGCCCCAAGTACATATTAATTCACTGGCTTCTATATTAATGTAATATGATGTTGACACTCTGACAAATTAAACTGCAATTTAGGAACTGAAGTATAGAATGATTGTAGAACTAAAAGAAAAAAGTAGATAAAATGATACTAAAATACCTATTGAGATGCAGTATATTGTCTTTTGGAAAGCAAAGAATTTATTAAATTGGTCGTTGTGATATTCCATGAAGAAGTACAGTATAATAGAAATAAGGAAAATTGCTGCAGCTGAAAGCCTTGAGCAGCTTGAAGAAGTGTCTGTTGAGAAGAAAGCAATACATAAAGTATGTAACTGGAAGAAGGTGTTTTGTGATAGGTGACAGTTATTCATTGGTTCCAACAAAGAAGAAATATTGTAGAAGTTTCTGAAAAACAGAGGGAAAGTCTCTGGATACTGTTTTTATTCTATTTTAATGTATCTGTGAAGAGGCTTGGTTTCCTGTCTTCCAAAGGTTTTTGGGTGTTTTTTCTTCCTTAATGCCCCTTCCTTGCATTTTTCTTTCATGTTCTAACAGGAACATAGTGTCGCAATTAGAAAAATAAAAATTTTGCCATTATAGTTACTTTTTTGAGTTAATGATATGAGATTTTCGTATCATTACTTGCCATCTGTAATAAATTACCCATTTTATAGAGTAAATACCCATTTTCTTTTCCAGAAGCATTCATTGAATGCACTGCTCATAGCTTGAATTATTAGAACAATAGGTCAAAATTGTAGATTCTGGCTCATTGAAATTTGATTTTTCACAGAGGTGCTATGCATTGCGCACTTTTCATTCTTTTGTCTACCTTACTTTGTAAAATCATGCTTATATTTTACATCATACTGGTTTTTTGCTTCTTGTTTTAGTAGTGGTGGTGGTGTGTTTTTGCTATGGAGTTGTGTTAAAGGGAGTATCCTAGTTTTAATGTTTTCTAAACTTACTACTCTACTGTTTCTATCTGACTACTTTCAAGACTGTTCAATGGCCAGGCGTGGTGGCACATTCCTGTAATCCTAGCACTCACCTGTAAGCCCAACACTTGCCTGTAATCCCAGCATTTGGGGATCTGAGGCAGGAGGGTGGCTGAGAGTTTGAGGCCAGCCTGGGTTTCACAGTGAGTTCAAGGACAGGGTAAACTACTAGTGAGATCATGTCTCAAAAAACAAAAACAAACAGAAAAGAGTATTCAAATAAGAATTCCCCATATATGTCTTTTCATAATTTCCACAGAATTGAGTTCCTGCTATGGGACAGTCACTTTCTAGGGACTTCAAATACATAAATAAAGACCAAAGATCCATATTTTCTTGGCATTAACCTCCCAATTTACAAATCAGAACTGGAATTTTGTTCCCCTAGAATTCCTAAATGGATCTGTTATGATCATTCTTCAAACCAGATCAAGTTGCAGCCCTAATTCCATTTCTCAGTCTTGATCTCTAAGCAGTTCGAAACACATGAATGTTTCAACCTTACATCAGACCATATAAGCCTGTGTGTTAAGGATTAGGCCCTTTCATTGACACATGCATCGTGATACTATTGTTCTAGCTTCTTTTCTACTGTATGAACTCATAAGAGTGAACAGTAGTGGATGAAACGGGTGACCAGACAGGCCTGGATTCAAAACTGGTCTTTATATTTTACTAGTTTGGTAACCCTGAGCTTCAGTTACCCTAAATCTAAATAGGGTGGTTTGGTGGAACAAGGATATTAGACACAAATCACTGGCCCAATCCTGGTGCTGGAGGCTTAATTAATGCTCTTATTTTACCACTTCTCTTGCTTTGTTTATTCTGATTATTGGAATTTGCCCACATGTCTGTTTTAAGTCTTATGTATTCCCAAAAGCATGATATATAGTGGTTGACTATTGAGATTCTGCCTTGTCTTCCATCAGCATGCTCATTAAATCATCAGGATTTTATTTTTTGTTTCTTTTAGAAAGGAGAAATCACTAAATTCCATGATTACTTTAGAAAATATACATAAAAGTTTGAAGAAAAAAATTAAGACATCACCCAATGATTTGAATTGTTACAGGAAGACTTTTAACTCATTTTCTTAAAGCCCCTATACTTCATGACCCTACTCAGGACCCCTTATATTGATTGTATCTTTCATTACCCATTGTATATTCCAAAATGAATGACCTCTGGAAAACAAGATGAACTGTACCTTGCCTCTCTAGGTTTGTTCGTGTTATCCTCTGCCTGAAATACTTCTTATTCCTAGGCATCTTCATCTACGAAAGGCTACCTTTGAGACCCTTTCTCAAGTATTACCTTCAAGAAATGTTGTCTGATGTCTGTCCTCTTTCCACTCTCCCAAACCATGTATGTTCTTATTCATTGATTCTTCAAGACATTTTGTATCACTCCTATTGCACTTACTATTCAATGTGCCTGTTATTTTTTGTTTTATGTAGAGTTTATGTCTTCCCATAAAAGGCTGCATACTATATCCTATTCTTCTCTGGGTCTGCTGTCATGAATGAAACAGTTCTGTTCACATTGTAGGCATTCAGTAAATGTGCATGGAGTTGAACTGGTACCTAGGCTATGATGAATTTGATAAGTAACTTTTATCTGCTGCTTCACTCAGCCCCAAGCATAGTGACCATCATATAATAGACATTCACGTGCCTGAAGAATGAGAGTACATAAGTCATCATTCTCATTTTTGACTAAGGTGTTAGTATGTTGATAACACCTGTATTGAGCACCTATTATATGATTGTACTACAAAATCTGATACCTGCCCTCAATTTAATTGGAAAGAAATAAATTATCACTAATGTGTGTAAATTCAAGACTGCAGATGTTTCAGTAGAGGTGGGTTGGGGAGTTCAGTACAGAATTTTTGCACTGTGAGATAACCCCTGCTGTCTGACAGAAACCAAATAGATTGTGATATCATTTATTTGGATAATTGTACAAGTGTATTTGCACTGCTAGGTGTATATCCAAGAAAACTGAACATTTTTACAATGTAAATTTGTATGAACATATTTGTAGCAGCATAATTTTTAATGGCCAAATAGTAGAACTCAAATGTCTATCAGTTGATAAATGGATAAACAATGTAATAGAGCAATGCAACAGAATATTATTCAACTATCAAAAGGAATAAAGTAGTAATATATGCTCTAACATGGATGAACACTGAAACATTTACAGTAAAGAAACCAGAAACAATAAGACACATATAAGGTATCAAAATATAGAGTGAACGTTTACATTTAAAAATTTATTACAAAGACACATTGCCATTAACTTCCTTCAAAGTACTTACCCTAAAATGCATGGACTCACTAAAAGTTTTAAAAACTAAAAACCACTGAAGTATACACTAATATTTTCTAAACCGAGAGACTGTCATGAAATATGAAGGATTTTCAGTGATGGTAGAAGAGGAAGTCAA